GCATATATTTGCCAATTGGAGGGACAGGAAACCTCTCCCTCACACATTTACTTGTTCTCATAGATATCGATTTAAGCTTATAAAAATAACCCCTAAACACTACCTTTCCCCACACCCTCTTTCTCAAAAATATATATTAAATTAATTACTATATACAATAATCTGAAGATAAAAAATAACAAATCTTTTTTAAAATAATAACTATAATTAAAAGCATTTTTATAATAAATAAATAAAAAGGTAAATAAAACCAAAACTATTATTTAAAAAATGTAATGTAATAAATCCTGCGATGATCTTAAAGATATTTAAAATTTATAGAGAAGAAGAACCAATCTAATAGTAACCCCCATACCTTTCCCCAATGATATAGATAGTTTACTACTTTATTAAAACCTTTTTTAAAATCTAGACAATGTTTTAGTTTTCTACTCTCCTTATAATACGTTACTTGCTCTAAAAGATATAAACATTTTTATTATTCATTGATAGCATAATTAGGTTTGTAAAATATTTTTGTGTAATTTGTCCCATAAGCTAAAGAAATATCCAATCGTTTTGCGTGGCACAGACGGACCTCTTCTGTTATCCTATTTGCAAATAGGTTTTTAAGTTAGGTTATAATTTATATTAAAAATGAAGAATTATCATCTTAATTGCGGAAATCGAATAGAAAAAAAGTTTAAATCCACTAGGAAATTAAGAGTTTTTTAAATATAAATTTGGAAATATTTTTTATTTTTTTTAAAAAAAATCTAATAAGTAATTAAGCTTTAAAATATATATTAATCAGTTAAAAACTTTAAATAACATTATATTCACTCAAATATAATACAATATTCCTATAAATCATTTCAATCAAATAAATTTGAGATTCTAAACATCCATATTAATCACAAATTTGCATGTAAATAATGGCCTTTGCCCTTTTGAGGCGATTTTACTGCTTAGGTCAAATATAAACACTCTGGTTCTACTCACCACCACTATTTATCTCTCTCCCACACAAATCTCACTATACAACAACGCTGTTATTAATAATATAGACCAATTACTCCATTATGAAATCATTTTTGTAATTAAAGCTTTCACATCATCATCTCATATAATAAAATCTAGTCTCAAAATTGTGCTTATCTGATATTGAGATTGTCAATATAATGACCATTTATAGAATTATAACTCCATATAGATAGTTGTTAATATATTAGTTATGGATTCAACAATTGATAGGTCACTGTCATCATATTTCATTCTAATGATGAATTTCAATGTACAGTACAATATAGACATTTAGCCATAAATTCAATTGTGAATTTTAACAATAATGATATTCATCTTCATTAAAAATCTGAAAAAAATTACAAATTTACAAGATGGCACATCAACCGTATCTATATTATATCATACCAGATATAAGGATTTAAGTCAACGTTTTGCAAAATATTTATTTGTAATTTCTCAATTTCAAGCTGTGTTACTTGATAATGAAAAAGATTATTTACCATACAACCGCTACTTTTAATAACATATTTATTTTCAAAATGCCAATTCTAACAAATTATAATAATAACTATATCGAAACCTTACAAGTAAAAAGCTCATTTGGTATACCACTAATACTTTTTTTATGAGTGTCCATCATCTTTATGCAAATCCTATTTGTTATATATATTGGTACCTTAGTGATGATACGATATGTGATCCAATCTAAATAAGCGGTTCTAAATTATATTGATACCTATTTTAAAAATTCAGAACTCATCACAGAGAAGGACATATGCTTCCTTGATAACAATTATCTAGATTTACCGTACTCTGAGACTGTCTACCATCTCAATTTCTGCCTCACCTATATTTACAGGGTATTCTACTAAATGTTTGGGGGATAGGGTGTGGGCATAACGTAGATGAAATTGACTTGGGGTCGGGATAATTGGCAGAAGGAGTTAGGGAGTAATTTTCATTTTCTTTTTTTTATACTTATTTCAATTTGCTATGAGTGAATGGGTGTAAGAAGAGAGTGATAGCTATTATATTGTTATCCATAGGCAAATAAATTACACTTTTCACTTTTTTATATTAATATATGCTTTGTTGTCTTAAAATTTTAAATTTTAGCCATTATTCAAAAAACATTAATTTCTAATTTATCTACATATTATTTTTTGTGGGGAGAAGGGATGTTTCTTAGCCTAAAAGTTTCAGAGCTCTAATATACTCCATCTTACTAAAAAACATAAAATACGGTGGGAGGAGTATTATGAATGAATATGTTAACGTTCCTTTTTTCTTGGCTCTAGGAAGAATCTGCTGACTTTAAAAAAAAATAGAAGTTGGAATACTGACATGAAAATGAGATATTTTCCAAAAAATATTTTGGATTTATGTATTTATGACAGTCACATGCATTGCGAGGTTTGAAGTTCCCCTTAACCTTGCTAGCGTGGGGGATATTACCTTGACTTTGAATCTAAATATAAAAATAACACAGTATAATAATAATAATTTACAATTATTCACTGTAAGGTTAGTCTAGTAAATTTAAGAAGGTATACTCACAATAAAAAGACATTCCGAAGGCAAGGTATTGACTAATTTTAAAGTTATTTATATATTTTTTACTTTGATAAATTTGTATATTATAATATATACTATAAATTTGGATTCGCTTATTAAATTTTAAAAGTTAGATGGATTACTTTTAAATTTAATTCAAACACTTTTTTGTAATTGGCATTTTATTTATTTATTTTAGCAAACGGGATTTGATATACGCCGAGTGTTAAAAATCAAGGAGAATGAAAATGGCTTTGATCCTGTAGAGGAATATGGCAAGTATTCTTTCAAGGTTGATACTAAAATAGACCCAGATTTATCAAAGGTTTTTGTGGCAGTGTCAAAAAGAAGTATTTGCATGATGGCCTAGTTTTTCAAGCTTTGTCAGAAGAGGACAGTAGAAATACCCTATTTTCAAAAAATTCTTTAAAAAAAGGGGTATTGGGAAGATGGTGGATGATGGTGAAGAAGGGGTTGAGAAAGTTGTCAGAGGTATATTTGATAATCCCTGTATGTAACCACAAGCTTTTTTATCCCATCTTCAAAGAGTGTTTGATGGAAAAGATTCTAGTCTAGCAGAGGCAAAAATAAGCCAGCTCTGCGTAGACTAAAATGATCAAACCTATAGGAAGGGGTGGAGCAGCCAAAGTTTTTTTGCCCGTTCCAAAACAAATGGTCAGGAATACGCCGCAAAAGTGATCCGAAAGCAATTCTGCGACGACGTAGAGGTTTACGTTTAACCATTTAGAATTTATATGTTGTTGAATAATATTTTTGAAATGACCATTGCTTTTGCACATTTTTCTTCAAAACTACGTTTTTTATAAATAGAATTCCTACAGTAAACGACTAATATACCGGGAAAAACTTACTTTCGATATAACAAAAAAACTAATTATTTATCTATTATTTTATAGTTACGCATTCGTAATGGAGTGACGATGGAGACCTCTACCGTCACCTCCAAAAGCAACCTCAGTTCATATTACCTGAGCATCTTGCTCGTTTCTATGCGGCGGAATTCAAAATTTTTTAACACTGAGCTTATTCATTTTCTTTGAAATTTTTTGCAGTTACTTATTAGATATTTATATAACATACATCTTTATAATTGAATACAATATATTAGTCAAGAGTTTAAGGGTGGGAGTATTTTGCAACATTGCTTTTGATGAAAGATCTAACCCACCAAAATCAGCATTTCTGTCCTGTGACTGATGGCATTCTAATCACAGGTTCTGTTCTGCCCGTTTCTCGAAATATTTAAAATGTTCTTAAGAAATAACCCTCATGAGCATTAAATATAATATTCATCGGTCATTAAAAAAAAATTTAGGATAGTTTGCCTCGTAGAAAAAATTCTCTCGGCCTTGGCACAATGAACTATTGGGTGCCAGTGTCCAGCAATCCTACTATAGTAAATACAATGTTTCCTTCTATTTGACAATTAAATTTTATATTTTCACTAATATAATATGTCGTTGAGATAATATAACTTCAGAATTTAGTAAGAAAAAAATCGTAATATTTATATATTTAAAATTATATTATATTAAAAATATCGTTATCGTAATTTTTAAAACTAGAGCGTAAATAGTCTAAGAGAATTTCTTTACTTTCGGAAATCAATAAGGCCTGATATAAAGTTCCTTCACCCACTCGTAATTATTGCTTTTATTTTTTTTATAGTGTCAATATGGTGCCCAAAACATCCGAAAAATTAAATTTCTAAAACTTTATCAAAAACCATATGTTAACCTTTAATGGAAAATTAAAAATGTGGACTAAACATTTTATTTTTAAATTTTTATACAATTTTAATAATTTTTAAACGTTAGTATTCCTAAAGTAGGTTTTTGTAAGTTTAGAAATTACAAGTTTTTGGCACAAATCTTAAGACAAATTTGATAATAAATACCATTAAAGTTTCAAAATACCCCTAAAAAATTTTATAATTTATTCCAAACCATTAGAGCCATAACAGAACTGGATCCTCATAGATTACGTTTTGGGTACCTGTGCAAAATTAGCTTTAAAAATAATACATTTTAATACGTTTTATGGATCAGTTTTTCCTCCTCGGTGGATTAAATCAGTATTCTTATGAAACGAATTAAATCATAAATTTTGTATTCGAAATACGAATAATTGATTTTTTTGAATTATATTTCCGATAATGACAAATCAATCAAGATAAATTTGATTAATAAATGTTTTTTCCCCCAAAAAATACTAAAAATGATTTTGTTATAAAATATATTGATATGATGATAAAACAAACGTGTACATAATTCCCAAATATAATAAAGCCTTTTTTAAGAAATAGCTTCCCCTAAGATTAATGTATAAACAAATTACAATTGTGTTAGAATTATTTTATTAGAAGTTGTTGTAATAGATTTATTTTGGTTCCATGATATCTTGCTTTTCCCAAAATCGATCTAAAAATCCCAATAGGTACATTTCTTAGGAGGATTCATAGGGTCTCCGCGTGAGCAACTAAAAGCATCTGAGAACTCTTTTAAATTAGAAACGACCCCGTTTACTCTATTCATTGTTTATTGATTTTAATCAAAAAAAAGTAATATAATTAAAAGGTTATTATATGAAAACTTGGAGATACATTCCCCATAACAAATCCATGGCAAAAGTGCGCAGCTTTGGAAAGATTAAAAATCTTGGATTAATTTTTTTGATAATAAGAAAAGATGGAAAGAAACGAAAGGAAAGAGGAATGCATTGAAATATAAAATTGAGCCAGGTTCGGTCTCAAGAGAAAAATGTCTTCTCTTTATTTTTATCTAGCGGTAATGCGAATTTCGGGTATGATAAAAGTTGTATATTAAAAAATTCAGGATAAGCTATAAAACTCCATCTTACTAATTTAAAATTTGGATGCGAAATCACGAATGTATATGATGTAAATTCCTCATTTCATTTTTTAAATAAATATCAACATTTAATTTACTACTCAGTTTATTTGTGATTTGGAGCGGGCCGAACTCGGTTATGCTTATCTCTAATTTATTTAACACTGAATAAATAACCTGTATTTATAGGGGCTGGTTGGAGGAGGGGTGACTGTTTCATTAGAACACCGTGCCTTATTTAAATATCAAAAAACAAATAATATAGATTTATTTACAACAAAGGTTATATAGTATACAAACTTGAGCATATGCTAGGAAGAAGAGTTGATCCTCAGTTATATTGGAATTCGAAGTATATCTTACATTATTCATATCCCGACGATTCTTCAATGCCTATTTTAAAAGTTACAAATGTTTGATTTATTTGCGTATATTTGATAACCCTCTTTAAAAGAATATGTGTACCTGTTGTATATGGGTTTATAAAATAAAAACGGGTTTTCGGACAAGAAAATAGTGATCTGCATCGGGCCTAACGTTTATAAACCGGTTTGGCACAAATTTATTTTAAAAATGTTTTTCCGGCCCGACCTTGAATTCTTTTTTAAAAGAAATTTGCCAGCCTAACCCTGCCCGAATTTATTTAAACATAGAAATTAATTTTTATGATTAATTAAAATAAAAGACATATGTCATATGGCATCTATTTTCTATAAATAAAATCAAATATTTTTATTTTACATATTTAATTCAATATAAAACTGATAAATTTAAATATATTTTAAAAAAATTTCCAAAGCTCGACCTGACGGGTTCGAACCCAATTTTTAAAAAAATTAAACCGATTCGGGCCGGGTAGATCTCTAGTAGAAAATTTTTGCATTGATATTTATGTTATAAATTTTTAATAGAAGTTGTGAAAGTCAATTTTTTTTCCTCTAAAAACAATTTGGAAAAAATTCTTTCGCAGAGAAGAGCCCATTTATTATCATGGAATTTAACATTACGATTTGAATGTTTCAAATAATAAATACTAAAGATTGTATAAACTTAAAGTTTATAAAGGTCACAAAATATGGAAAAATGAGAAGAATGAAAAAAAATTTTATTAGAGCTATTTTACTTTCTGTTTTGTTATGAAAAAATAATAATAGATTACTGAGGTTCTCGAAACTTACTTATATTAACCGGAACTTCAAAAAATAAATTCCTTGAACTGAGCCTAATCTAAACTTTTGTTATAAATTTTTTTTTCTCCTCTAGCAACCTTAACCGAACCTGTATATAACTACTCTGCTGATAGATATTGAACAATTTTCTAAGATAAACTTGTAATGCCATGAAAATCCCACTGTTATCTGCTATATTTGCGTCTATCGTTTCAATTCCGTCCACCTTAATTAGATAGAAAGAAAGAAAGAAAAGTAATTATAAAGAAAATATATTTTTTAAAAATATGTTTTATCTCGCAATAAAGTTTATTATAATTAACATGTATATTAGATGAATCTAAATTTCAAGATTTTATCTTTATGATTTGATTATTAACCTGTTGATCATTAATCCAGTATTTTGAATATTGATCTCGGTAACAATTTTGTAATTCTTTGAAAGATTCTTCCAATGATTTGTTCGACAACCACGATTCCCAAACACCATTTCTTTTAAATTCCCTATCTATATAAATATATATATACCAGAAACCTACAGGTAAGATTTAAAGGCCTGATTTTGTTAATTATTATCAAATATATTGTTTTTATTTCCTTCTTTTTTTCTTTCCTTCCTTCCTTCCTTCCTTCCTTCCTTCCTTCCTTCCTTCCTTCCTTCCTTCCTTCCTTCCTTCCTTCCTTCCTTCCTTCCTTCCTTCCTTCCTTCCTTCCTTCCTTCCTTCCTTCCTTCCTTCCTTCCTTCCTTCCTTCCTTCCTTCCTTCCTTCCTTCCTTCCTTCCTTCCTTCCTTCCTTCCTTCCTTCCTTCCTTCCTTCCTTCCTTCCTTCCTTCCTTCCTTCCTTCCTTCCTTCCTTCCTTCCTTCCTTCCTTCCTTCCTTCCTTCCTTCCTTCCTTCCTTCCTTCCTTCCTTCCTTCCTTCCTTCCTTCCTTCCTTCCTTCCTTCCTCCTTTTCTTTCTTTCCTTCATTTTACTTCTTTAGATCTTCCTTTTTAAAAAAAATAATAATTAAGATTTACTCGGATGGTTAAAGCTATGAGATATAAAATAGGATATGATAGATCCTATAGCTCCAAATAGATAGGCTCTGAGAAATAAAATACAAATAAACGTATTATTTTTATTTATATACAAATCAAATAGTCAACATAAGTATATTTCTGTTTTGTCCGACCCCGTGATCTGTGTTAAAATATTTTATCGAGACGGACTTGTTCAATTCGTACAATATTTAATTTTTTTACGGGTATGGCTTTTATAAATATAGCCTTAGAAGTAGGTAAATTTATGGATGGAACTTTTCTACTAATATCGCCAACATTTGTCTTAACCTTAAACCTCATTCATCACCTTAAGTGTTACAAAACATATTTAACGAATTTGTGATAAAAATAAATATTTTATTTTTTAAAAAATATATATTAATATCTAAAATATTATTATTTCTTTTATACTTAGGATAGGAGCTATCATATAACGGTTTCTGTAAATTTCCGGCCATAATTACTAATAAAAATATGAAAATGAGATTGAATTATATTTATTTACCTATAAATTTATATAAATTATTTTAAAATTAGAATATTTCTCAGAGAAAGGAGGTCATATTATTTTTAAAAAATTTAGTTTGCAATCATCGACAGTGGAGGCAGGAAGAATCACAAGTTTTTCTATGGGGTATAGGTCAAATATTTTAATAAGGGGCTCGAGCCCTGCTGCCTGCAGGAATTTGGTGCGTATGCCGAACTGCATATAGATTATGTCCTTTTCCCGCTAAATTTTGCTATCTCGAAAAAATTGTTTTAAAGGGATAATTGAAAATATGAGGTAGTTGATTATTAAGTGTAAATATTATTATAATTTACTATAATTTTGCAAAGGGGAATTAATTTATATAATTTAATTTTTCTTTGTTTAAATTAGCACGGCAGATTTTTAACCCATGGGCCCAAATTTTTAAATATTTGGGCTTTCCCTAACCGGGTCTGCCAATTTCTGATATTTCTTTAAATATAAATATATGTTATTTTAAAATCTTTAACTCCTTTAAAAAAACAAAAAATGGTAACCTATTTCGTTTTCCCATAGAAGGTTGGTTGTAACATATGTGTGAGGGTAATTCTTCCATTTTCTATATAATATATATATAAATAATTGTTATAACTACATTTAAATTACAACTCCGCCGTTTAATCCTTCATAGCATAGGATTTAGGCAGATTCCCGTCTTCTAAAAAAAAAGCGTTATTATAATTAAAATTCTGTAGTCACCTATCTTTTAATGTTAATTTTTTAGTCAAATTTTTACCTAGTAGTTTATTTAATTTATATAGGGTTTAGGTCGGCATAAACCTCATCTATTCATTCGTGGAGATTTCCTTTGTTTGTTATTATTACAAATACAAGGATCAGACCAACATAAGCCAATTACGAGTTACCCCCAGCCCTTCCATTATCAAAAAAAATGAAATTCGTATCGAAATTAGGTAAAACAAAAAATCAATCTTTCCCCACTTACCCAATTCCTACCCTTATTTCAATAAGCGAAAACCATTCTGAGTCATCAAGCCCCTCCCACTCCTACAATTATGTTATAGAAGACCCCAACTCCTGCTTAGAGATATCAAAATGTAATATATTTTTCAAACTGTTTATTTCCTCATCATCTATTATATTAATTTTCTAATCATTATTAATTATAAATTTTGAACAAATAGTGAGATTCTTTCTTAGTATAGTTGGGTAATGGCTAAATATCGCGGGCTTATTGCGGCTAAATATTTGCAGTGGAAAAATTCAATAATATTATGGCGTTATTTATATTAGTTTCTTCTATCGCCGGGGTGCCTAATGGGTTAGATATATGCTTAGAAACAGAAGGACGAAGAAAGACGCATGTTCAATACAGGTAAGGGGCATAAAAACTTTCAAGTTTTTCTTCGATGATTGATGTGTAAAGACATATGGTAAGATAAATTTCGGAGCTTAGAGATGACACCCCGGTCACCGACAGGCCTGGTCAGGATGAAGGAAACAAATGGAAATATGAATATAAAAGCTAGGGCGTTCCCTCCAAGCGACGCGCAGGGTATAGACTTTCATCCTGTATAAAGTAAAGTAAAGGTCAAAGCAAAGACGACAAGATTAACAAGTTTGAATATTGGGACGTTTAAAGGTAAGAGGAAAAGTTGATATAGCGTGCATACAAGAGACGAAATGGAAAGGACAGAAGACTTTAATGATTGGAGATGGGTATAAATTGTACTATAATGGAATTGTTAGCAATAGGAACGGTGTCGGCATCATCCTCAGTCAAGATCTAACCTCCTCAGTAGTAGAAGTCAACAGGATCTCTGATAGACTAATGACGATAAAACTCTACACTGGTCAATCAATACTACACATCCTTTCAGTATATGCTCCTCAAACGGGTTGCAATGAAGAAGAGAAAGATGATTTTATATCCTTGATGAAGCTGTAATGGAATTCCCTAGCGATGACCTAGTCTTAATTGGTGGTGACTTAAATGCGCATGTGGGGAAAGCAAGAGATAGTTACAAAAGGCATCATGGTGTTTTTGGATATAAGAAATGATGAAGGAGAGCATTTACTGAAATTTGCGCAAGACTTCGACCTTACCTTAACCAACACCTACTATAGGAAAAAAGACAGTCATATGAAAGTGGTACAAGGAAAACACAGATAGATTACATGCTCGCTGAAGATTAAAAGATGTAATAGACTGCAAAGTCATCAGGAGAAGATATTGCCGCACAACACAAGCTACTAATCATGGATTTACACATCTCAAATAAATCTATTCAAAACAAGAAAAAACTGGAAACATGCATAAAATGGGGCAAATTAAAAACAATGACAGATGCCTTTGCAATCAGTGCAAACATTGTAACAATAGATTCCTCACAAGTCAGGGAAAAGATGTGGACAGACATTTCATTCACATTAATAGACACTACCAAATCGACACTAGGCTTGACAAGGGGAGGTAACAAATCGTACAAAAAACTATGGTGGTAGAATGAAGGTTTGGAGAAAAAAGCCCTTTATAAAATAAAAACCCAGATGATAAGAGACAAGATACAAAAAATCCATGATATTAGCTACGAAGGCGGTGGTTAGGGAAAAGAATTCTAGGGATATAAACGGAGCTCCGAAAGTAATCAAGAATAAAGATGGGAAATTGATAATATAGGAAAAAGAAATAATGGATAGTTGGAAAGAATATTTTCAGATGCTTCTCAACTTTAATCCACATACTACATCTAGACGAACACTCCCCATATCAAAACCTTGTTTACCCTATAACAGAACAAGAAATAATCACATGCCTCAAGCATATGAAAAACAACAAAGCTAGGGGTCCAAACGATATTCCAATAGAAAGCTATAACAAAAATGGAAGCAGAGCTATCTAGTTCCTATCTTAAAAAATAAAAGGGTTCCACTCAATTGTCAAAATTACAGGGGCATAAAACTAATGTCACACTGTCTAAAACTATAAGAAAAAAAATAATAGAAAAAAGATTAAGAGACATAATCGAAATAGGAGAGGTGGGCGTTACGCCACAAAAAGGTTCCCGAAAAATATATAAGAATAATACAGGATATGTATATGGGCCATACAACAATGGTCCGTAGCATAACAGGTACTTCAGCAGGCTTCACAGCCGAAGGAGTTCATCAAGGGTCGGCTCTCAGCCCTCTTCTCTTTATTACAGTAATAGATGTATTAGCACAGTCTATTCTATACCTTAAACAGTCCCGTGGAATATGATATTTGCAAATGATATTGTGATACTTGCCTAATCCAAGGATGAAATAAAATAAAGATTAGTGAGTTGGATAAATATTCTAGAAAAGCACGGACTATAAGTAAATTGAGAAAAGACGGAGTATATGGTGATAAGAGAAGATGAAACAGAGTTTATTGATAGAAATGAATGGCAGATATCGGCAATTGAAGGCTGTAAATATTTGGGCTCCACTATACAAACAAACGGACAATAGAGAGATAAAGATTAAAATTAATTAAGGGTGGTTAAAGTGGAGACATTTATCTGGAGTGCTATTAAAAAATCCCACACAAATTAAAGGAAAAAATTTACAGTTACAACAAATTATTCTATATAGATCGGAAACATGGCCAACCAATGAATCAGACGAGAGAAGTTTACAAACTATGGAGATAAGAATGCTGAGGATGATTGCTGGGGTAACAAGAAAGGATAAAGTGAGCAGTACAGGAATACTAAGTAGTTTAAAGGTAGTGCCCATTAAGACTAAGTTAATGGTAAACAGACTTAAGTGGTATGGGCACACAATGAGAAGGCCTATGAACTACATAGGAAATAAGGTTGAGAGTTTGGAAGTGATGGGCAAACGTAAAAGAGGAAGGCCAAAACTTCAATGGGGCAATAAAGTAGAGCCAATATAAAGAAGTATATAATAGATAAAAGAGATTGTATGAATAACATAAAGTGGAGAGAGAGATGTTGACGGAGCTTATCACCAGTAAAGATGAAATCTAAAGCGAGAAAAAAAAATTTATATTAGTTTCTTCCAAATTTGAGCTGCTATTTTCTTAAGAAAACCCCGAGACCGAAGTGATAGTTTTCGGCTAAAAACTAGATTTAACGGATTTTCCTAGCCGGCTAAAAATTGGGTTAAACGACCAAAAATATAGTAATACCCAACTATAGTTATTTTTGGCGATAACTGCATAGGTTTATATAATTCTGTAGCAAACTATAAATTTCCAATAAAATTAATCGGGGAAAACCGCACATAATAGTGTCACCCCTTTAGCAAAAAATCTTGAAGTCTATGCGTTAAAATAATATTGGTAATAAACACTGTTCTCTCAAAAAAAATAATAGATATTATTAACTGATAGGTTGTCACTCATTTCCCGTCAAAAATAAAATATTATTTTAATTTTTACGCTAACCGTTTATCGGTGAATCCTCTCTTGATTTTGTTTAATTTTTCTGTCAGAGATTGGCGCAGGTAATTTTTAAAGTAAGTGTCGTTTTGCATATGTAACTTCGAAAAAGAAAAATAAAAATTAGGTCACTTCCAAACAAATCATCGTATTAAATTTTCTAAAGCTGTTTTTAGTGAGGCAAAATCGCTTCATTCAAGTCGATTTTTAAAATAGGCGGTACTTTATCCCAGAAATACTCATGGATGACACAAATTTGCGACATCCATTAGCCAAATCATATGATCGGGCAATATTTTTCGCGCTAAAATATTGAGTTAGCCTTGTTTTTTAAAAATCTAAGTCAAATGGAGAGATTTTTTTTGCATGAAGCGGGTATTATTCGAATTAATCTTTTTTGGGGCAAAATAATTTACAACCATTGGGCAAAAAAATAATATTGAAATTTTGATAAATTATTCTATTGTTAGGAAGATAATCGTGGTTAAGAAAACTTGGTTAAAAACAAAAGACAAATTGTCTAGAAATGGCCTTAGAGATATTAATCGAATATTAAAGTATTTATTGGCATAAAGTTAACATTGTGTTTGTAATAAGCGCGATTTATATTTTTTTTATAAAATTACGTAAAGCTAAATGAAATAGGAGTAAAAAAAGTGTGATTTTATTAGCTATTAATTTTGGCATCGTTTGAGTACGCTTATTATAAATATGAATGCAATGTTAAAAACTCATCCTTGATGATCAAATTTAAATCTAGGACAAACGGGGAAAATAAATTTTTCGGGACAATAAAAATTTTTCTTCTCTTTCCATTGGTATTTCGTAAAATTTTATGATAAACATTTTTAATTTACTCCTTCGTAATCTTTATCCACTTCAGTGGGATCCAATATGTACTGAGGATAACCAATTTTGAATTTCATATCATGTACCTATAATATATATATATGTATAATATATTTCGGGTAATGATTAGTGCTTTTTAAAGTGATTAGTTACTTGAAAGTAACTGTAACGAATTATGTTACAAAAGTAACTTTCAAAAACACTAGTAATGATGTATAGCTTTAAACTTAGTGCTTTTTTAAAAAAAATCGTAATTTTATTTTTTATAAAAATAAATAATTATTTTTACGAACATAAAATTTAACATTATTTATTTATTTTTAAATAATGAAGGATTAACGTGTATATTTTTTATTTAAATTTCAATTTTCATATCTTGTGAGAATGAATGTTCAAAGAAATAAATATTTTCCTTTTGCTGATCTATTAGATATTTATACATACCCGAATTATGAATCCTTTCAAATATATTTAAGCCCAAGTGGGATTTTAAAAAAAAAATAAAGCAAATTTTTTTAATAAACAATGTTAAAATAGTGAATTCATAAATATGATATCTTAAAATTATTAATCCGAAAATCAACTATAAAAATGATCATGAGATTTTTCCTGGACCAAAATAGGAAGAAGATATTCTGAAATATTGGAAGAAATTGGGTTAATACTCGACAATTTAGAAGATTTTATTTGCTAATTTAGCTTGCAACAAATCAGTGTAAAAATATCATTTTTTGTCACATTTTATTAAATTTCCTCATAGGTTTGACTTATAAAATATATAGTAGATATTCTACATGTATGTTTAGATTTAAAAATAAAAAAAATTAAGAGTAATATGTAATATATAAAATTTTTTGATTGCAATGTTTATCTTTATCAGCTAATTCAATATTTATGATGGTTTTTTCCTACTTTTTTTCTTATTTCTTCTTTCTTTTTAACAATTTTAACAATATAGACAGTTGCCCAATTTATGGCCTTAGTATTTAATAAGAAATTTTCTGGAGACTCAAAATTTTGGTCAAGTTAAAGAATTGCCCAAATTATAAAGAGACCGGATTAAACAAGTTTCTAAGGTATTTGTAATATATTATACAGTGTACGATTCGTCACTCAATTATGTATAAACGGTAGTTAAAGATTTGAAGAAAAAAAATCAGAGAAATTTAAGAAAATACACATTATATACAACCTTATAGATGGAATTATTTTTGGTAATTTCATCCATCCAAGCATTTTGGCGAAAACTTTTTACATAAGTGTCTCGTATAATATCAGCCATTTCTTCAACCTTTTAAAGATAAATAGAATATATATAAATTGATTTAATGATATTTGGAAAATTAGAAGGAAAAAGAAAAATCATTTTTTAAAATAATTAATAGATGTAACCCTAATTTTATCCCGAGGATCGATATTGTATCTCAGGTAAAGGGAACTGAGTGGGATTTGCAGGAAATCCGGAATCATTTTTAAGCATTTTTTCCAAATAAGATCATTATCATTTTCTCTGTTATTAACCTTGAGAACCGGAGTATAAGCATCCTCATACTTTTTGGACAAAAATTTGGTGAGGTGATTTATATTATGCCACATTATGTAATCATGTAAATCTCTTCTAATTATTTTTATTATGTTTTCAATATATAATTTATAAAAAAGGAATTAAAAGATGTATTTGCCTTTTTTTTCGTTACATTATTTATTTTTAAATATTTGAAAGAATATATGAATATTCGAATTTTATTAAAAAATATAGGTTTAAGATAAGATACACAAGAGTATAATTTTTATTTTATTTTCTTATCCGAAAAATGAGAGATACAATTTCCAAGAAAAAAAACTCACCTTAAATATAAATATTTAAACACCAAACCCACCTTCACGTTGTATGCATATGAAGTTTCCCTTCAAACTAGGGACGAGAACCCTCCATCTAAAAAAATGTGTTTGGGTTCAGTTAAATATATACGTACCCGGTTCGGTTGACCAGATTAATAATGACTTATTAAAATTATTTGAAATAACAGAAATATATTTTTAAAATTTTTTATATTAATTAGTATCGGACATATAAATAATTTATCAACATAATTAGAATATATTATATATAATAAAATAACTACAATACAATTTAAAAAAAATTATTAAATATAACAAAAATGATTACACGACACAAATGATCAAAAAATATATTTTTTTAAAATTAATATTGTTTTTTTTGAAAATAAAAAACAGTTATTTTGAATCATGTTTTTTATATTATATTATTTTTAACATATAATTTAAAATAAATAAAAGTATAAATTTTTTTAAAAAAAGCTTGAACCCTAAACTCTAAATTTAAAAAAAGGGTTTGAGTTGGGTTCGCGAAATATTGAAGGTATGGGTTCTAGTTTATGCTCCAAACTACTGTCCAGCTTAAGTGCGTAAAATTATTTTATCCGTTCAACATGACTCTTAGGTTAAAAAAGGTTATGTTAAATTTCCGCCTTGGACCTCAGATTTTCGTAGACAGCCAGGTGCCAAACCTGCAAAATAAATTTTTTATAATAAAATCTCACATGGATTAGTTCCCGTGATGATCTTCTGATTAGGTGTCAAATTAATAACTTAAAACCAAATGCTTAGATCAGTGGCAAATTCTTTGCATAGCACCCTATTAACTCGCTATCGAAACCAACATAAGTTGCGAAATCACACGCACTGCATCCATCCTATGAACAACCCTCGCTGCAAAATAAGCGTTAAAATTAACATCTTTTTAACACTTTAAATTTTACTCACCGCTCTCATTTTCTTTCATACATATGTTTACTAATATTTCTCACAGATCCCATCTCCAATATAATGAATATCTGCTTTCATGAAGGGATCCTAGATTCGATACAATACTGAATAGGCATCAAAACGTTCAAAAACGTTTCTACCGAAAGCAAATTTTTCTTACATACCTAGCACATAGATGATTATTTACACTGATCTCTCCATACGAGGACGCAAATACTATTTATCAAAAAATACCACTCTCAAATAAAAGGGCCTTAGCTTAAAGCAAAAAACTGAAGTATTTCAAAAGTATTGTTCTATTCCACATATTAATAATTTTCAGACAAATGTCTCCTCTCTAACCAATTTCGACCTCACCGTTGATGGCTATTTCTTACTATATTTAAAAATATATCCAAGATTTTATCCTGATCTAGCTTTATTCCTTCTTAAAAACCCTAAGATCCTTTAGGACCTTCGATTTTTAAATTTCTTTATTTACTAAGATCATTTAAAATTTCCATCTAATCTCAAGCTGAAGAGATCGATAATTTCTGCTTTAATCATAACTCCAAGCTACAAGCATCTCACCCATGCAAACTTGGGGATAATTTCAAACCCTCTATATCAGCGCGTTTATACCTATTCGTCTCTTTGACGAACCTTAGATTTGGGAGTATTCCTTTTGCTTCCTCCTTGTTAGTTAAAGCATAGTACAAATCAATAGTCCCACACATTCAACGACCTTCCTCGTATTTACAAACCTGTAATTCTTCACTCAACTATGGCTCTATCTTACCTAAAATCAAGGCTTCACGATGACGATCTCACAGTTCACCATTCAAGCGGGTCTGTTTACGAGTTTATAGAAACCTTGCCCTCTCAGACTAACTTTGCAGCAATTGCAATTATTTCCTCGACTGTTAATTTTGCCAAGGCTGAGTCCACGGCATACCAAATACAGCAAACCAATTTTGCGACATACCTTATAGCTCTAGGCTCTACACAACAAACATATTTAAGATCAATAAGAAATAGCCATATGAAATATCTTTGACCGTGAAGTGGCTGGCCCATACAATAAAGACATCATTTCACAAGCACTAACCATCTCGTAAAATATTAAAATATGGTTCCATCGACCCTTCCAATATATTCATGCCTTACCTGCTCTAATCTCTTCTTTTTTGAGGGCAAAGCTCAGAGTTCTATTAGAGAATTAGGGAGAGGATCCTCTAAAAGACCCGGTCAACACATGTAACACTCTTTCTTACAACAAAGGAGCTAGAGTAATTCGACCAACACCAACCTTATAAGTTCTAACGCTTCCACTGAACATTCTCCCATATTTCTTCCAATCTGCTACTTTTTAGACATCTACTTAAACTTTATTATATTTACTTTATATTTCTTCCTTACATTTTACTATGATAGACATATTCACTTAAATAAATAAGGAAATACAGGAAAAATATTTTAATTGAGTTTTATAAAAAAAAATACCTATTTACTTTGAAAATACGGTTTGTTTGTTTAAGAAATCCTTGATATAACTACTTAACCTTTCCATGCGAGGCAAGGAATCGACATGGAAAATATTATCTGGAGATACGGACATGTTTAGAGGTTTGAAAAATTGTTTTGTCAGTTGGGTCCAATTAATCTTGGTGATAAAGAAATTTATATTTTTGTTTTTGTGAATATTATTTATATAATTGTAGACACAAAACTTTTTAGGTTCATTGGGGTTTGCCACTTAAATTTTATGCTAAAGATTCTAATTATTTACTAACTTATTCTTATATTTTTTAAATATCCTAATATAACTTTTCCATTTTAAAACGCTTATATTTCAAAAATTAAATGAATATAATAGAAATCATTCTATTTAAAATAATCGAGTTCGGTCCGGGCCTAATATTTTTAAAATAAATTTCGGGTTCAAACCGGGCCGGCTTAACTTTTTTAAAAAAATTTCGGGCCGGGCCGGGCTTGAAAAATTAGGCCCGATGCAGATCACTAATAGAAATATTCAATTTATATATATTTTATATAAGAGACCTGCAGGCTTGGCCCTAAGCCTGGCTCGTATTTTAATTTAAATTAAACAATCCGGGCCAGTGGTATGTTTTAAAATCAAGTATTAGAAATCACCATTATTAGCTATAAAAAATCAAAAATAAATAATTCTTTCTTTCTTTCTTTCTTTCTTTCTTTCTTTCTTTCTTTCTTTCTTTCTTTCTTTCTTTCTTTCTTTCTTTCTTTCTTTCTTTCTTTCTTTCTTTTCGGGCTGGACCGTGCCGTTCAAATGTTACCTCAGCTTGTCTCTGATTTATAGTTTAAAATAATTGTCTTACGAAGTCAAATTTTTTATCCAACTTTTCTAACGTTATATTGATGCCTTGAGACTCATCTAAAGTGCCATGATATGGTCTTTCAAATACCCTCTTTTTAAAATAATAATATTTTTGTGTCAAATAATTTTAACAATTTTAGAAAATCTGAAAATGTGATATCTTAAATTGCATACTGCGCAGAGTTGTTAAAGAAGCGCGCTAACTTTTTTGGTAGCTATAGCTAAGAGCGGCTACTTTTTTTAATTATTTAATTTTTTAGCGCGCTACATTTTTTGAAAGTAGCTAGATAGCCGCTACTTCTGTACTTTTAAAAAATATAACAAAGGTAAATGTAAACATGAAAATTTAAATATAATATCATAATTAATTATAATTTTTATGATTTATTATTTAAATTTGAAATTAAAATATAATTTCAATTTGTAATTTATATTTTCATTTGTATTATAAATCTAAATCACGTGTTAATAATTTAAAATGTCATCGCCTATGGATATCCAAATCGTTGAAAGGATTCAGACAATATTAATGAAATGGAAGGTACCAGGGAAGAAAATGTTCTTAATAGCTATAATACAAATTTCCCATCCCTAGATTTAAATTTTTTTTAAATCAAAATATAATCAAAACTGGTTTCAAATTTATATGTTTAAAATGTAAAAAAAATATTTCCTCAAATCAATCCAACCTCAAGAAACACCTAATGGTAAATTGTTATTTATACATTCTAATAATATTTATTTTATAAGACTGTTTATGAGTTTTAAGGAAATGGAGAAACATCTAAATAATTTTGGTATAGGCGACTCCACATTTAAAAAGACTAATTCAATTCAAACCAAATTAATTAATAATGCAAATGACCAGAAATTGGCTGATATAGTTATTGTTGATTTTACAATTTATACAGTTCAGCCAATGTCCTTAGTTAATAATCCATCATTACCATGATGATTAAATACTCTATCCCCTGGTACAACAATTTTATGCCGTCAGACATCAATGAATAAAATAGCAGATTTAAAATGATGAAAGATGCTCTAATAGTAGAGTTTCAGAGTATCATATATATGCACCACGGAAGATAGTTGAACACATAACATAAGGTAAAAACTTATTAATATTTATAAATTGATCTGATTAAATTTTTGAGCTTATTTGGGAATCACAGGCCATTAGCTAGACCCTTGAACTCTAAAAAGAAGATCTGTGGCATTAGCCCTTAAAATAATAATAGGATGCCAGACATACGATGTACTTGCAAATAAAATTATTGATAATCTATCTTATATTAAAAATATGTATATAAGATTAAATACGCCCTTACCCTCAAGTGCTAGTGTCGAGAGATTATTTAATAAGGCAAAACTTATAATGCAACAAATTACCTTAAATATTTATTTTTACTACTTAAATTTTTTTATAATCAAAACTAACTATATTTTAAAATTTATAAATGTTGATTTTTATATATTTACTAAACAATAACATTAAAGCAAAAAATAAGTTTATAAATTTTGTTTATAAAAAAGAGCTTAAAAAGTAGCTAAAGCTACTTTTAAAAAATAGTATCTAATAGCGAGCTAATTTTTTTAACAAATAGCGATAGCGGTAGCGCGTTAATTTTAAAAGTAGCGTTTAACAACTTTGATACTGCGTTAACAACTTTCTTAATATTTAAGTTTAACCGAACCTTAAGAGTGGTATTATAGTTAAACGTCGATTGAAGCATAGTTTTTTTTGTAGATAAGCTTTTAATCGATGATATAAGCTATCTAAGCATATAGGATCTGTGTGTTTTATGGTGTTATTATGATAATCGTTAATTGAATAGCGTGACTACATGGCTAACACTATCGGCAAAATACATCAATGCATTGACGTGCAACTTTGATATTGCGATTTGGTGGGCCTAGTAGGGTTCATTTTGTAGAAATAAACTTTAAATAACCTGATGTGAGAAGTCATCTTGAGTGCAATGTACTAAAAAATGATATTCCTGAGGTGTAGAATAAATCGTTTACATTTCGATTTATTTCTTTTGATTTAGAAGCCTCAAGTTAGTATTTATAAGTTTTTTGCAGTGTTCTTAAATCATCCTAGACTAAAAATGGCGAAAATAGTTTTTAATGTACAATAGCTCTTAGAAGGGCTATTTTTTTTAGCGTTAGCGGTTAAGCCCTACTTTAGAAATTAGCATTTAACAATTTATAGTTTTTGAGTGCCTATGGCCACATGGGATTGTACATAAATGTCATCTAGTTTTATCTTGCGTACTGTGTATCATGGTAGTGCGAAAGTCGAGATTTCGTACCCTAGCGATTGTTAGTATGATTTTATGAATATTTTATTACTTTGGAATTATAACATAGAATTAGGATATTGACAATGGTTTTTGATAGGCACTTTGATGAATGCTATCCCTATTGTTATTTGTGCGTTTTGCATATAGGCAAAGAAAGGTTATTCAGCTACTTTACATCTAAATTTCGATATTCCAAATACTCGATTGATATATTTAAATTAGATTCGCTTCAAATAATTTAAATCAAATCTAATCATAGTATAGACGAATAGCAAATTATTAGATTAGTTTTAATAAAATAAAATATACATATAATTTTTCAAGGAGTTTGAAGTTCAATTTAAAAATTATTTATATAAAATTTACTTGATTAACAACTACATCACCTCTAATCTAAAATAATCTAATAAATACCTTACCTCAACCTATCTAAGAAAAATTAACAAATCAATATTGAAAAAGATTAAGTCACATTATTATTTACTAGTGCGATATACTTCTCGAACAATAGCACATTGACCATAACAATATGTAGTTGATTATCTATCCACTTTTTATTCCGGGAAAAAAGATTTCTCCTAATGTCACTATGATTTAATCGTTTGTTAATGTCCAATAACAACAAATTCCCAATGTTTTTCACGTAATTTAGGTGTGCGTTGTAAAATTTTATGTTAACACGATTGTATATCTGATAGGTAGAAATTGGTAGGGTGAGTTGGATTGCTACTTTAATGTTGAATAAATACTTAGAAGAATTTTGGGGATCTATTTCTGTAGTTATTTCGAAGAATCCCGTTTTCCAATTTTCAGTAAACGCTGCGTCCGGATACCTGACTAGATTTTATAAAAGAAGGAATGACAAATAAGTCCAATGATATCTTTAGAAGACGTAAAGAACATTTTAGTAAATAAGGAATATATTAATGTTTTAATAATAAAAAAATAGATTTGTGTAGGGTGGACCGGGGTAAAACGATTAGTTCTCTTATTTTGCCCTGAAAATTTTGAAATATAAAAAGGGAACAGAATAAATGATAGATTTATATGTAAGACAAATAAATCACCTACAAAA